CCCACCACCCGCCAGTTCTCTTTGGGATCCTGTGACCTCCACAGGTCTCTGTCTGAGGTTTAAGGACAGGTTTCTTCTACTCCCAGGGCCCCCGATCCACTCCGTGGTCCCACTTCTCCAGCCCTCCGCCTGGGGAGCCAGGAGTGGGACCTCTTGTCTCCAAGGCACAGAGAATCCTCCACCCTCATCCATCCCCACCCGCCACCAGTTCTCTCTTCCTAATCCTTAATGAGAAAATTGTCCAGTCTAAGGGAATCTTTTCCTCCTAAATTCAGTTTATTTCACATTTTAATTTTATCCAGATGCTCTCTATTTCTGCTGTCCCCCTAGAGGTTCTTCATGGTACCAAGGACTAAGGCAAGGGAGTCTGCCTTTGGCCACGGGCCTCCATACCGGTTGCTGTTCTTTTTTTTAAGGAGGTGCTGGAGATTGAACCCAGAACCTCCTGCACGCTGAGCATCTGCTCTACCACTGAGCTACACCCACCCCCTGGTTTCTGCTCAGGTGCTGCTGGTTTCTGTGTGCAGGGCTTCATCAGGTAGCTCGTTCTGCTATTTCCACACCCTCAGTCAAGGCACGGGAATATAGGGAGAGCCTCAGGCTTCTTTGGAGACTTGCAAACGACAGCCACCCCGGGTGCTGCTGGCCGAAGGCGAGGTCCGGCTTCTCTCGCCCGCCCGGTGGCATCCTCTGTTCTCGTCAGCTCCCCTCCCGTTCTCGTTCTGCTCCCAGCCCGAAGGTGTCCTCCTGGTCTGGAGAGAAACTCCTTTTTTATCTGACACTGTATTTCTGCCAAACATTCTGTTTACAGCCCAGTCCACTCCATTTCACCCAGTAGACCAGGCTTTAGGAAGCCAGCAAGACGCCGACTGTTCCTCCTTCTCGTCTTGTCTCAGCTCTCCTGGAGGCAGTGTAGTAAATAACGCAGCTACTGGAACTGAGGGAGGAGAGGCAGAGCCAAGACAGGAAGGGGGACATTTTCAGGAAGGAAAAAAAGAAACCGCACATTTTAAATAGCATTAGAAATTTTAACCCACCACACGGGTAGACAGACAAGATCATAACCGGTTGTAATAAGCACTTTGAAGATATGAAGCAGGATGATATGATGGAAAGTAAAGGGAACAGGGCTTCTGTAGGATCTCTGTCTAGTCACATGGCTCTGTCCAGCCTTACTTTCTCATGTGTCTCCTTTGAGACACTTTTTTTTATTTAATCATTTCCAGCGGCTTTGAGGACATAGTCAGTACTGTGGGCCACTGAGCCCCTTGCTCACGCATCATGTGTAATCCTAAAACAGTGAGAACCTAGGATCAGGGAGCCATCCATCCCATCAGCTGTTTTCGTAGTGATCATGGGCTATGATTTTTCCATCTTTAAGTGATTTTTAAAAATTAAAAGATTTCATGACATGCAAAATTCTATGAGATTAAAATTCCGATGTCCATAAATCAAGTTTGATTTGAATACAGCCATACTCAAGCAATTATGTATCGTCTGGCACTGCTGTCACTGGGTAAGCTTCGTTGTGATGGTATGGCCAGAAAAGCTTAAAATATTCGATGTTTGGTCCTTTGCATAAGAAGGTTGCGTGCACCTGATCTGAATGATCACGTTCCTCCTTGGCACTATACAGTCTGTCTTCTCATCCAGAGTACAGGCCCTCGAGTGGAATCGCCAACATCAAGTTTGTAAACCAGGGAGTTCATTTTGAAGACACTGGTCTTGAGGGTGTTCTATTCTGAACTGGGATTTAACGTCTTCAGATGATACTTTTGGATCTTTTGGAATGTAGCCTCCAGTGAGTGAATTTGGGAAGAAAAATAGCCAATCCACATGGAGTACTTACCTGGTGCCAGATGTAAACATTCACTTCATCCTCATAAAATGCCTGTTTACTAGGTACTATGATTATTCCCATTTCATAGATGATAAAACCGAGACAGAAAATTTGAATAACTTACAAACATCATCCAGGTAATTGTAAGTGAGGTCTGGATTTAAACTCAGACAGCCTGGTTCCAGAGCCCACATTCTTAGTAATCGTGCAGAATATGAATGTGGTAGTAGGTGCTAAAAATACCACTTCCAACATTTAATTCAGGTTATAAACTTTAAAATTTGCTTCATATAGTAGTTTCAAGGGGGAAAATGGATTCACAATACAGTTGCTAGTGTAATTTATAGAAGCAGTTACTTATCATTTGCATCTGTTCCAATTTTGTGGTTGACAAAGCATTTTTAGATTCATTAACTGGTTTACAGCTGTGTGAGGTAAGCAGGTCGTTAGCCTCAATTTAAAGAAGCAAGTGGGATCCTCAGGCCAGGAAGTGATCATCAAGCTGGGAACTTACACCCAGCTCTGCTGATTTCTGATCCAGAATCCTTTCCCCTGTACCCGTGTTAGGCAGACTTTCATGACTTTTAAGGTATCTGTACACGAGCTACATTATTATTCACTTAGCAATTTTCTGGAAATCTGTAACTTAAATTCCTGGTAATGTAATGCCTCTCCTAAGCAATAATATACATGAAATTATGAGTTTGATTCTACTTTCATTTCTCAAACACTTATGTTGTGTTTACTGTATTCCAAGTACTTTACAATGACTACTAGCTCATTTAAGCCTCACAATAACCCCAACAGGTAGATATGATTCCTGTACCCATTTTCCAGATTAAGAAACCAAAACTCAGAGAGAAGTTACATATCCTGCCCAAGGACACGTACCTGGTATGGAAGCAATCTCGCTTCTGGGTTCTGTGCTTTTAACCCCCTAGCTTGACATACTCAGTTCATCTTCTAACACCAATTAAAGTAAGCACAATTAGTATTAAAATTTTAAATATTCAGC